TTCAAACCCAATTTCAAACAAAAATCCACATCCTTCACACTGATAATGGCACAGAATATTTCAACCACAAACTCTCTGCCTTCCTCACCTCTTGTGGCATTATCCATAAAAGCATGTGTCCTAATAGCCCTCAACAAAACAGTATTGTTGAGAGAAAAAATCGTCACATCCTTAAAACTGCCAGGGCAATTATGTTCAGTAGCCATGTCCCCAAATACTTTTGGGATGATGCCATCCTCACTTCTACCTTCCTGATAAATCATATGCCTAGTAAGCCACTATCATACAAAACCCCTAGTCAGGTCCTTCACCAACACTACAACCTTCCATACCTTGAAAACACTCTTCCCCTCAAAGTTTTTGGGTGCACTACCTATGTTCACCTCCATCACACTAATAAACTTTATTCCAAAGCCATCCGGTGTATTTTTCTTGCGTATTCTTCCTCTCAAAAAGGGTACAAATGCTATGATCCTGTCTCCAAACAACTCTTTGTTACCTGTAACGTCAAGTTTCATGAGAACGAACCCTATTACACATCGTCTACGATCTAAGGGGAGAGTGAGAATGAATCTCAGACATGTGAAACAGCAGTACCTATACTGACGAATGACCTATTTGTTGAATTTGATCCTGAACCTAACCTTGACCACATAGATGATAAGGGAAAGCCTAATCTGGGGGGAGACACAAACCAACAGGTTAAGACCTATACACAGAAACCAAGAATAGGTAATGAACCACAGGCTCCTAGTATTTGTCAAGAGTTAGATTTGACAGCAGGTCCAGAAAGGGAACAAGCTATACAAAATGATCCCAACCAGACTGTGGAAGACCTTGATCTTCCAATTGCAGTAAGGAAAAAGCCTCGTACTCGACACCCTATAGAAAAGTTTGTCTCATATAAGGCTCTCTTTTCAAAATATCATGCCTTTGTATCTCATCTTGACAGTGTTAGGGTACCAAACAATATTGATAAAGCCATGGCCTCACCTGAGTGGAGACAAGCAGTTGTAGATGATATGGAAGCACTTAAAAGAAATGGTACATAGGAAGTGGTAGATCTTCCTAAGGGAAAAAAACCAATTGGGTACAAGTGTGGGTGTTCACTCCAAAATATAAAGCAGATGGGAGCCTAGATAAGTACAAGGTGAGGTTAGTTACGAAGGGATTTTCATAGGTCTATGGGATGGACTATACAAAGACGTTTGCTCTTGTTGCAAAACTTAACATAGTCAGGATCTTGTTATCTTTGGCAGCTAACTTAGATTGGCCTTTGCATCAATTAGATATCAAGAATGCCTTCCTGAATGGAGAACTCAAGGAAAAGGTGTACATGAAATTGCCTCCAGGGTTCCTAGGAAAAAGTTCTACCCAGGTTTGCAAATTAAAGAGGTCATTGTATGGGTTAAAGCAAGCCCCACTAGCTTGGTTTGAGAGGTTCACACGAGTCCTCAAGAAATAAGGCTACAATCAAGGGCAGAGTGATCATACAATGTTCTTCAAACATCAAAGAGATAAGATAACTGTTTTAGCAGTCTATGTTAATGACATAGTCCTCACAGGGGATGATAACACAGAAATAGAACAGATCAAGGCAGCCTTGGCTTAGGAATTTCAAATCAAAGACCTTGGAGAAATGAAGTACTTTCTTGGTATAGAAGTGGCTCGTTCAAAAAAAGGGATTTATATCTCGCAAAGAAAATATATCCTGGATCTCCTGATAGAGACAAGAATGTTGGGATGTAGACCAAGTGATACTCCCATACGAACTGATAAGATCAGTGATGAAGAGGACCTGGGTAAGACTGTAGATACAGGGAGATATCAACAGATGGTGGGAAAACTCATATCTTTCTCACACTCGACCTGACATTGCATTTGCGGTCAGTGTGGTCAGTCAACAGTCTCATGATCCCAAGCAGAAACATCTCAATGAAGTATACAGAATTCTTCAATATCTAAAGTGTTCTCCAGGTCATGGACTGCTATTCAAAAAATCTGATCGATAGAATATTGAAATTTTTATTGATACAGACTGGGCTGGAGATCAAGAGGACAGGAAATACACATCAGGGTACTGCACATATGTTTGGGTTAATCTTGTCACTTGGAGGAGCAAGAAACAGAGTGTAGTTGCTAGAAGCAATGCAGAAGCAGAGTTTAGAGCAGTTGCTCTTGGTATTTGTGAGGGAATATGGCTGAAAAGGGTTCTTGAAGAACTGAAGAAAAATCTAAATCTGCCTATCAAACTTTATTCAGACAATATGGCAGCCATCAATATATCACACAACCCAGTCCAACACGATCAGACTAAGCATGTGGAGATAGACTGACACTTCATCAGAGAAAAGATAGACGATAGCATCATTTTCCTAAAGTATGTGCCCTCAAAAGAGCAAACCACGGATGTCCTCACAAAGGGACTAGCAAGAGACAAGTTTGAGCATTTCGTCAGCAAGCTGGACATGATAGACATCTATGGTCCATCTTGAGGGGGAGTATGGAAATCCCCCATGATTTTAGGCTTAATACCTAGATTTGGTATTATAGGATTTTCAATGTAAATATTTCATTTTGATCTGATTGTTTTTTCCCTGATCAGCTCCCTCAAATCTCAACCTATCATTAATCGGCCAAACCCTCTCTCTTGTTGTATAAATCTCAGCCTCAATATATGAATAATATATAGTTGAATCGGATTACCTCATTGTTCTTCACATATATATCAATAAACAATCCCCTATCAATACGAAGACTGAAATGAAAGGATCTATTGTAAATTTTCCTGATAGATTAGTCTTTGAACTTTGGGTGGAAATTTTGGTGCCAAGGGGACTTCTATTAGAGTCATGTTGCATAATGTAATATCCAATATATTTTTTTTAGTTTCCTCACTGCCAGTGCATATCAGCCTAGTATACAAACATTCAAAGGTCCTGAAGGAGAATCTTGTATAGTGGATAGAGTGGTTCTGTGCTCTGATAAGGATAACAACATGTGCATCAAATTTTTGGTTTGTCATACTCGTAGGCTAGAGGTAAATAGTTTTAGGTTTTGCTGTGGAGAGTTATACTTATTTTGAATTTTCTTATTGACTTCTTTCTTTATTTTTGTTGCTTTAGCTTGGTGACACATTTAGCAGCAGACATAGTCAAAAAGGTGTTTGTGGAACAATTGTTCAGCAGGAAGACTTTCTATTTTCTGAACATGGCATTTGTCCTAATCTGATTATGAATCCTCATAGATTTCCTAGGTAATATGATTCATCTATCAATCATATTCTTCAATATGGCATGTGGGAAGTTGGGTAAAAACTTGTCCAATTTCTTTTGACATATCGAGTTATTTGCCATATGGTTGTAAATGAGGGAGATCTGACGTGAGTAGTAAATATTTGATTATTTGGGCATCATATTTAATTTAGAATAAGGGTTTTCCTATTTTAGAGTTTATTTGTATTTGGATATATTGAAATAAGGCATTATATTGGGATCAGTAATGATGTTCTGTTTTTACTCTCTTAATCCCATCCTATTTTCTTTTCCCATCTTTTGTATCACAATGTCATAATAAAAAGTTTAAACTTATCTTTCTATAAGTATGTTGGAAGGCTACTTTATGGATACATGATTGTTTTCCCTGCCAGTCCATTTCTATATTACCTTGGATAGAGAAAGAGGAAAAACTAAAGATTTCACACTGTACTTTTGATCGAAACATTGACAACTAAAATATTTTAGGGCAAGTTATTTGCCCATTTGTGGGTGGCTATTTATGTGATGTAGGCTTTTACTTTTCTATGGATAATTTCTTGGTTTATTGTAAATACCTTTATGAATTCTAGTAGGTTTAGATTCTTAATCATTTTAGCCAAAATTTATCCTACCAACATGCTAAATATGATGTGTGTGCATGTAAATATATATATATGGATAGGTGTTGAGACTGCTTGGTCAAGCATGCATAACCTAGTAGATTGTGGGGGGTTTCAGACTCCTGGTAAAACAATGATACTTGAGACTAGTTATGAATTTTGGGGGGGGGGGAAATGGTGGGGGTGGGGTTGATGAAAGTGCTTTTTAGTTTGGCATAAGTCCAAGATGGAGTGTGTTGAATTGATTGGTACTATACAAACAAGTGCCATAGCTCCCTCTTATGGGTTGTTATTTTATTTCCAGCTTTTAGTTTTTCTTTCTAGTTGCATTGTTTAACATTGAGCCATCTCTTATTTTTTCCATCAATACCATATTGTCCTTAGGTAAGAAAATCTTTTTTGTAATATTGTTGCTAATTCTTTATTGATCTCACCTTTTTTATGGTATTAGTTGTATGACAGTTGGAAAGATAATAGAGCTACTTGGGGGAAAGGCAGGGGTTTCGTGTGGTAGATTCCATCATGGAAGTGCTTTTGGAGAAAGAAGTGGCCATGCTGACAAGGTTGAAACTATAAGGTATCTTACTTGTCTATGGTGTAGTCTTTATCATGTATCGACACTTGTATTCTCAATGTTTATTACGCTATGGCAGTGAAACTCTTGTGAAGCATGGGTTCAACTACAGTGGGAAAGACTTCATTTATTCAGGTTTTCCCTTTGGCATCTCCTAGAGTTATCATCTATGCAATAAGTTTTCTATGACAATATTTTTTGCTTTTTGTTTAATGAAACAGCTTGTATACAAAGATAACTGATATCAGGTTAGATTCATAGATGTATGATAAAAGTTGATGTATGAATATGATAAGATCTAATTGCATTGGCTATTCTTGCGGGGTATTTAGTTGGAGTGGATGCTTATGTTATTGTATAGATATTACTAGCATAAATGTAATTACTATAATCTGTATCATCAATATAGGGTTGAGTATTATTACGTTAGGATATTGTTCTGTCATTATGAGTCATTAATAGTGGGACTCATTTTGTCACACCCCAATTTCTTTTTTTGAGGTAACTGACAAGGAATATGAGAAATCTCACATTCCCGAGCCTTCTCTGTCACTGACAATTAACATCCACTATAAATAAGGCATATAACCAAAATAATAAACCATTTGTAGAAATTTCGGCAAGGTCTCCATGGTAAATCAGACTCCCTGAAAGTTCTACAATGGCCTACATATTTAAAATAGTATTCGGGGCCCTACTCCCGAACACAAGTATATATATAATTACATCCCAATTTATCTCAAAAGACTAGGATCTAACTATAGATTTCGTGGAGCACATACTACAAAATTAAATACATAAGTGTACTCTTGGGTTTACATTAGTTAACAACTATTCAAAATAGATTCAGAGGTTCTGGATCTTCACTAAGGCTCTTCACTGCTCAGCTGGAGGGACAGGGTTTGCGGTGCTATCTGAAGCCAAAATAATCTACCAGTGAATAACATCCCATTATAATATCTAATAAAATATTAGGAACTAAATAAAATAAATTTAACTTTGACAGATAAATGGCAAGAATTAAAATACAATCCTAAATTTAAAGAGGTAAGTATATACTTGAACTCATTAAACAATTAAATCAAATCAAACTTCATAATAGGATAACTTGATACGTGAAAATGATAGAAAACATCATTCTATTTATTATTATTATTTTCTTCAAATCTTGTCTTTTCGTAGACCTTAACAGAATGGGGTAACAAGCGCAGCCTAAAGCCACGAGTACAAGTGTGGATACACAGTCTACGAGGGTGAGTAACAAAACAAGCGCAGCCGAAACCATGAAACAAGCATGGGGACAATGCCCACGAATATCAAGCGAGCTCGAGATTTCCATGGCGCGCCAAGGACTAACAGTACTGCTGTAAGTGATCAGTGTTCTGTATTTGGTCCTCCAAGAAAAACTCACAAACATGCATAGATCACTTCATCACTAACTTAACAGGGGAAAAATATATATATAAAGTTTTCTAATAATGGAATCCTTTAAAAGTATATATATATATTTTTGTAACAAATGATCCCAACATGAAGATTCTCAAATAACATTTTTTAAAACTCCATGTTTGAGTTCTAAGCATAAATATTTATTAATTACAAAATGCTGATTAACATATCACAATTGACACTTTATTCAACATAAGAAGCAAAAGTATTTCCCTAAACAACAAAACATTAAGACATTAAATAATTAAGATTGAAAAATGATAGAATTTAATTTAAATTACCTGGATAAACTATCTGGCAACAAAAATGATAATTTGACTAGATTAATAACAAGTAGTAAAAGTTTTTCCTCTTTGTTTTTTTTCCTTAAACCATAGTAATGGGATGCTATTCACTCACCTGACAAGTTCCCACAATAATACTTAAATTTAATCACGTCCGTAATAGGAACTCTCCTCAATCCCCTAAAGTCCAAAAACAAAAACAAAAACATTACTACTCAAGTCCAAAATTTATATACAAGTTTTCACAATAACTAGATAGATAAACTTCAAGAACCATCTTAAATAAAAATTCTAACAACTATAGAACCCACTATTTGACCCCCAATATTCCAATAGCTGTTATAGGATGGGCATTACACTTTTAAATTTATCCCACAAGATTTACCATATTGGGTGCCATTTTCAACGTATCATCCTCATCTAATTAAACCCAACACACAAGAGAGCAATTTAACTTGGTCCTTGAATGACAAATCACATTTTTTCATTGATCTTCAATTCTCCCGTTACTTGAATACCATCAACATTGCAATCATAAACTCCAACTACTCACCTTACAGCCCACAATTCACCATCATCATCAATCTTTCAACCCATTAAAGATCATGCAATCATTCAACTCATCCACCGAACAAGCATTTTGGCTCAATAGATAAAGTATGACTTCTAAGCAAACCCTCTTCCCAAACATTTCTACAAACACCTTGTATGCGGCAATAATTAAATAAGATGACCAAGCATATTAATCCACCGTTCCAGCCTTAATAAACTTCATAACAGCCACAACAAACTGAAAATTTCACAGCCTAACACACTTATAAACATTAAATCCAAAACAGAGGAATAAAATGCAAGAGAACCAACTCATCTCCATCACTGACAGCGGCACACTAAGAATCTAGAGGAGAGGAAGATAAAGATCGCATCAATGGTCAGACAAGAGTAAGAAAAGATGAACTCCAAACCTTTTAACCACCAAAAATTGAACAGAGCAAGCGACAAAAATGGCACAACAAAGCTGGAAAAGTTCAGAACTGAAGCAAGCCAAAAGAATCACAATGCCACGTCGGTGACAGCAACTTTGACAGCAAGGAATGGTAGGAGGAGTGACGAACCAAAGGAGGGAGAGTGGAGGGTTAGGGTTTGAAGTTCATGACTCATTCTCTCAATTCCTCCTCTCTCTCGTCAAAGTTAAAGCATCGGAAGAGGAAAAAAAAATAACGCAGCAATCTCTCTGGTTTTTTTTAACAAGGGTATTTAAGTAATTTTTCCTATAGAACTGAGCAAAATAAATTCTCCTTTAAACAGGGCTGGGGTTCGAACCTGGAACCTCTGGCCTCCTTAGCAACCTTTGTTACCATCTATCTCCAAGCTCTGTTCAGTACTCAAGCTACAACAATTAATATAAGTATGAATTAATTTATTATGAAAATTTTAAAGATATTACACATTTCTCCCTATCTATGCACACCCATTTCCTGATCTTGAATATACCCAAGAAATCCATGTAATCTTTTGTATTTCTTTATATGTTATCAAAGCAATAAATTTTATTTTAGTTTATTTTATTTTATTTTTAATGATTGAGCAGTCTGTATCCTTTCTACTCTTCCGATGACACGGTTGACAGATTGAGGGTTTGAGTTCGAGCATGGGAAAGTATGTTGATATGTGATTTGTAAATAAGGACTGAGGGTATTTAAGTTATTTCATTTAGAAATTTTTTAATGTTTATAATATTTAATCGATATTCAAATTAGATATTTAAGGATTTAAGTTGGATATTCAATTAGGATTAGGATGACCCATAACCTGTAAATACGAGTAGTGATCAATATTTTCTCATATGTTTTGATTTCTCAAATTATTTAGTCAACCTTGTCTTGTTTTCCTATTCTCTTTCTATGCTTCTCTCTCTTTCACCCTTCTTCTACAATCACCCTATCAGTGGTACAGAGCCAAGCAACTCTTGACATGTATGCCTGAAACTTGTTCTCCGAAGAGCAATTTGAAGAATGGGTTCAAGTTATTAAAGAAGAACTGAGGGAACTCAGACCCTTACCTACTATGATTTGGGCTCTGTCTAACCAATAGGGCCTCTGTCTAAACGAATAGAGATGCTTACTCAGGATGTAGCATCTGGCAACGATGGGAGCGTTAATGGTCACTGTCGACCAAAGTGACCATGACCATAAGGTAGGGAGTATCGACCTCCCACTTGATTCACTAAAGTGGATTTTCCCTATTTCTAGCACTTTGACATAAAGTACAATGGATATTTAGTTGAGGTACTGGAGGAGTCAAAAGTTATGGCATCCACCTGGATGAAAAAGCATACCTTTGGCACCAAGTGCTAGCATAGGACAAGGAGGGTTTACAAAGCAAGTTCGAATTTTGCAACCACAAACAGTGCTGTAGGTGTGAAGAATAGCAAAAATAATGAATTTCAAATCCCACTTTTTGCTTATTCAGATTAATCGTTGCTGGACATTAGGAAAAGTTAGGAAGAAGATGCAGATTTGAAGGGATTAATTTCACAAAATATTCTTGGGATGGATGATTTTTAAGGAAACATTGCAGATTAGCAGCTGGGAAATTCCCAAATGGTGCAGCGGAAAATACTGGAGTGGTTTCATGCTATTCCTCAGGGCGGGCATCAGGTATTCATGCTACTTATCAAAGGGTGAAGTCATTAATTTGGTGGAAAAGTTTATTTACAGATGGTAAAGATTTTATTTAGCATTGTGATCCACGTGCAAGGTCCAAATATGAAGCTATGGTGTATCCAAGCTTCTTGCAGCCTTTTCCCATGCCTAATAGAGTGGGAAAGTATCGCTGTGGACTTTATCAAAGGGTTACCTAAGTCCTATGGAAAATATACGGTTTGGGCGATTATAGACAAGTTAAGTAAATAAGCTCACTTTGTACCACTCTTCCATCCCTTTTCTGGTCTTTTTTGTTTTAACAATTTTTGGACATCAAACACAAAAAATATAATACCTTACTCTAGGAACCTCTATTGGCAATATTTTACTAATTATGAGCCACCAAGGACTTATTCAGTAGCTTGAAAAACTAGACTTCTAAAAATTTCTTTTAAAAACTCAAGGTACCAACAGAATGGAATTCTCTGAAAAATCAAAAATCCAAGGATTAATTTTAGCAAAACTAACTCGGTGGTTCAAACACTATTAATTCTTGTTTGCAAAAAATTTTGATAACAAAATAGATCTGGATTCTTCCTCTTTCCTATTGCCCAACACATTCTTAATATAATCTAAAGAACCCATTTCTTACCATGTCAAGACTTAGAACCTGTAGCATAGGCATACAAATCATTCAGGCGCATTTCATACATTTGCCCTATGAATATATATATCTGTCAATTTTAGGTGTTAAGTTGATGTTTAAAAACTTATTTGCCTTGTATGTGTTGGGAGAAGCCTAAGGATTGGTGCAAATGGCTTGCTTTGTTGAATGGGGGTATAATGCCGCCTCAACAAGGATAATTCCTTATGAGTTGTATAGTCAAAAGTCACAAGTGCGTGTCCTTTATTTGCCAAGAAATGCCTTTGTCATCGTGAGAAAAGACTTTGTTGATTGCTAAATATAACCTACATAGGGCTGTGAATAGGATGAAGCAAAAAGCGAATTTGCATCGAACAACTGGGGAGTTTCAAGTGGGACAATGGGTTTTTCTCAAGCTCCAACCGCACAGACAGATTTCTGCTGCATCTAGGAGCTCTCAAATATTGGCTCCTGGACATTTTGGACCTTGTAGAATTTTGCAATGGGTAGGGCTAGTTGCATACAAATTGGTGCTGCCACTTGATTCAAGGATACAATCCACCTTTCACATCTCCTTGCTGAAGTTGTCATAATCTAACTGTTAAGCAACGCACTCTCCCATTGATTGGCCTACTTCACCTTAACACTTGGAACTCAAGAAGATTTTGAATAAGAGAATGGGGAGGAAAAGACGCAGAATTATTTCAATAGTCTTGGTCCAATGGAAGAGCCTTCCGGATGAGGAACTATATCGATTGCAACAACACTTGTCATTTCACATGATGGACCCTTAAGGGCAAGAACTCTTCACAGAGGGGTATTGATATGTGATTTACGAATAAGTAATTAGGGTAGCTAAGTTATTTTATTCAGTATATTTAGAATAATTTATTATGATTTGGATAGAATATTATATTAAGATTTAGATAGAATATTTTATTGATATTGAAATTATATATTTAAGGATTTGAGTTAGATATTTAATTAGGATTGAGATTATCCATGACTTATAAACATGAGCAGTGTTGAGTCTTTCCTCATATGTTTTAAATTATCGAATTATTTAGTAATTCTAGTTTCTTTTTTCCTATTCTCTTTTTGTTCTTCTCTCTTTTTCACCCTTCTTATGCAATCACCCTATCATATGTTCCTCAAGAAAATCCTTATATGGCTTAAAGCAAAGTCCTCATGCTTGGATTGACAATTTAAGTATTGTGGTTCAAAATTTGATAGGAGTCAAAAGTAAGTGACCATTTTGTGTTCTATTAGAGAACAAATGCTATCATGATTCTCCTGATTGTGGGTCTTGATGAGATTGTGATTATGGGTAGTAATACCTCGGGAATTTTATCACTCAAATCCTTCCTTCACTTTTTCCAGACAAAAGATTTGGGTTCGCTAAAGTACTTATTAGGAATTGAGGTTTTGAGGAGTAAGAAAGGCATTGACTCATAGGAAATATGTTCCTGACATTTTGAAGGAAATAGGAAAGGGAGGAGTTGCACCATGCATCACGTTGTGGCCCCTGATCCACTACTTGATGCTAATAAGAGCAAACTGTTTGAAGCTCTTGAGAAATATTGGAGACTAATTGGGAATTGAACTATTTCATGGCTAGTCATCCTTGTATCACTTACTTAGTCAATGTGCTCAATCAATTCATGGCATCGCCAACTGCTAATTAGTCAAAAGCTATGGAGTATGTCTTTTATCACCTAAAGGGAATATCAAGTCGAGTACAAGAATCATGATCACATAGACATTTAGTGTCCTCGTGGGGGCAAATTTGGGGTCCTAGAGGAGCAAGGAGCAAGATGTGGTATCAAAGTTGAGCACAGAATCAAAGTATGGACCTATGGCACAATCTGTGTGGTAGATAGTGTGGGTGTATCAATTATTGAAGGAGGTTGGTCTCAAGACCTTGTTACAAGTGAAGCCATGATGTGATAGTTAAGCTGCCTTACACATATGACATAGCCTCCAACTCTATGTTTCATGAACTTGCAAAGTACATTGAGATTGGTTGTCACTTTCTTAGGGATAAGATTAAGTAGATTTTTATTTCTACAGGACGTGAAAATTGGGAATAATTGGGTGATCTATTTACAAAAGCCCTCAGTGGGGCTAAGGTTTAGCAAGTAGGGCATGATTAATAGCTATACTCCAACTCGAGGGAGTGTAGAGATATTATTAGCATTAACGAAAGTAGTATAATACATATCATTAGTATAGGATCAGATATTATTACATTAGGATATTATTCTATGTCACTTTGAGTCATTAATAGTAAGACTTGTCTCTCCCGTATATGTACCCGTTTCCTAACCATGAATATAGACAAAAATTCATATAATCTTTTCTATTTTTCTATAGTCATTGAGGGTGCTTTTGCCTTGACATTTGTTATTTTGTGGCTTCTTGTTGGTGTTTTTAGATGGTTTCTTAAAGAAATGTTCATGTTTAATACAGAGAGATTCAAAAGCTTTAAGGCAAAAAATAATTTTTTTATTATTTCTTTATTCTTTTTGGCTAACTGTGTTAAAATGAAAATATCATTGTGTGAATCCATAAAGTTGGAGGCCTTATTTCAGCAATTTAAGCTGCCTTTGGCTAATTGTTTGAGTATACTGATTCACCTTTTTACTCTTCAGGTATTGCGGGTTGCCCCTTGCAAGCATATATTTTTATGGGGCCAATTTACTACCAGAAATTAAAACACATGGTGGGTGTGAAATTCTAAAATAAGATTGTCTATCTTTTTCACTTCTTATGCCTACTTTCAAGACTTTGATTATAGAAATGTTTCTATTTTGTTTATGTTCAATCTTGAGCGAGTGGATAATGCATTTCTTCTAACGATCGAGTTGTGTTGCTTGAAAGGTTATTTGATAAGAG